TGAGATGAAAAAGCCTGCGTTTTTCAGTCGCGCGTTGATGAAAGTACAATGGCAGTCATTACTGAAAAATCGGTACTTCCTTCACTAATTGGTGGTGCTGCAGCACGCCAAAACTGATGGTCTGAGGGCAAATCTTCAGACCCGAAGACCACGCCTTGCTTTGCCCTTCCAATGACTCGGTAATTATTTTTTAATCCAATCAGCTGTGCGACCCGAGATGAATTGCACTGGCCGAATTTGAGTGAAATCAGTTTATTGGTATTTGTAACTTCAATTTTTTTTCTTATTTGCGATTTTACACAGAAAAGATTAATGTGAACTTCGGGATAATCAACGGAGAGGTTATAAGTAACAGTTTAGTGTACCAGCACGTTTCTTGCAATTAAAAAGCTTTTAGGTGGAGGTAACAGCTAGGCTAGGGAAGTCACTTAAAAAATTAATTCTTGCTTGTTTTTAAGCCTCGATCTTGAACCACGTACCACACCCATGATGGCGTTAACTCGTATCCGAGCCTCAGTGGAGTGGGCGACTTATACATCGATAGCTTGAGGTCGGCGAACGACGAAGGTGGCGCATCAGCGTGGGCATGGACCGGGACGTCCTAAATTTGATATAATCACATAACGTTCCTGGGATTAAAACAATTTTTTCTTTTTTTTTTCACTTACGTGGTCTGCCCTTAGGATGTATTTTGACGAATCCCACTTCGTAAGTCAAAAGTTTCGAGTGATAATTTGAGTAATGAGTGTACATAACGGAAAGTTCAATGGAAAAATCACATTTTAAATGAGCGAAATTCTATAGAGAACAGAAGTTTTATTGAGAAAATCATGGTAAAGAAACTTTGAAAGCGTAACACGTACGATATGATAGGGCTGGAAATTCAGCTGCATGCACTGAATAACTCGAAAGAATATCTTTGATGAATGAGTTGCAAATGTTCAGAGGGCAATTTAGAGCGATATAGTGGTAACGGTTATTGATTAAATTTATTCTTCTACGTTCACGTGATCTAGAAATGTTTCAAATTTCATCAACTTATATTGTCATTATCTGTTGTACGTATTCAATATTTTCCTTCTTTAATTAAATAGATGATCTCGATATTTGAAACGCTCTTGTGTCGTTCCACTCTTTTATGATTTATCATTACATTATTTTCAGTAGGGCTCCCATGCAAAAACAATGGTAAACATTCAGAAGCGCATTTTTGAAAATTGACTAATATTCTACAGAATAAAATACGCGTACATCATTATCCAAATAACAAAGCATAAATAAATAAGCAAAGTGTGAACTTTTGAAACTGTGTTATGATTCAAAATTTGCTTTTGTGTTCACGGAGGGAATTAATCGCTCCTTATATCATTACGAAAGTTCGACCCTTCATTAGGTTGCTAGCGAGGGAACAATGACGGATGCATAACGCATCAACAATAAGGGAAAGGGAAAATCCCGGCTATAATGAGAACTGAACGAAGCTTTTGTTAATTAAATATTTCTTTTAGCGGCAGTTTAGATGCAGTATTTTGGTTCAGGTCGGAACTTACTTTGTCTGAATTGATGTTTGGACGATCATTTGATGAAGAGTCATATTTGATGAAAAAGAACATTCCCTTGAACGATTTCAGTAAACCTTATTAGGGGGTCGCAAAGCTTCAAGCTAATAAAAAACGAAAATTTTAACACTGCGAAAAATCAACTAACGTTGCCTGTAACGATCGTTAGAAAAACTGAGTAGCGAGAGATATGATTAGACGAACATAAAAGATAGATTAATTTTATACGAGCAACAAATTTCAATTCCCTTAGTATGGTTAGGCCAATATGTGTAGATTCAAGGTAAAGGACTTTAATTCTTTGGAGTTTGCGAATTGAATTGACCGAAGGCCAGGCGGTGTCCAACTAATTCCTGTACTACGAGCAGCTGGTGGTTTCGAAGTGCAATCAGAGCCTCCATATAGTCGACTCCGGGACCGCATCCACCTGATGTGCTCCGCCATACCGTAGACCAGGTGGAGTAGAGCGGTAGTATAGGTAGCCTAGCGTAAGGTGTGCTCCGGGCCAGCAGGTCAGTAGAGAATCTGATGTTGGAAGACCAAGGGAGGGGAGGCAAGTAGGCTATTCGGCTTTTTCATAAGATGAAAAATTAAAGAAGACGGGAACAAATTGGCCATATGAGAATTTAGACTGAATTGAACAATGAGAATCTTTGATTCTCACTGCCACGATGGAAAATTGTGGAAAAGGAAAAGTAATACAAAATAAACCCAGCATTTATTTCAGTCGCATTGTTTCTTCTATTTCCTCTTTTGATGTAAAAAAATCATATTTTACCTGAAATGTAATCATTTTTTTTTCAACTGGCTTCTGCACAGTCCCTGAATGAGCTTCTAAGATAAAAAAAATTACTTATGAATAAAAAAAACTTCCGAGCGCACATTTTTCGCAATTTTCTTGCTTGAGGTGCCAAACTTTCCAAATCAACGATAGCATCTAAATCCGGAATTTTGGACTTAAAGGCCACTCCATTTCTGAAGTCGGAGGCGACGCACATAGCGTCTTTCCATTGCTATTCCCGTCACAGTTCCCCTCTATTTATTTTATCAGAGCTAGCCAATCGCAATCGTTTATTGAGGTCTCCCCTCGAAGCCAGCTTCGGATTACATCGCCTGTCCGTCACTCCTAAATTAAGTTGTTCTCGCATTTTTTTATCACTCATTCTTCATTCCTTGGCACGATTGTGACAAGACTGACAAGTGGACGGAGTTTGTGAATCGATTTAATTTAGTTCATATCAGCAGTCAGCGTCACGCCTTGACGCTAACAATGCTACTGGGGATACGGAACTACACATTTAATTGCGACTGTTACAGCTCCGAACATTTTAGAGGCTGGGTAAATATAGAGCGGTGTAACTTTAAATATTTTGTATCGAATCGCTGACTCACATATACTCATAATTATGGCTCGCATTCTGAGTTATTTTTGCATAATTTTTTATATGTTTATCTGTATATTCAATTTTTAACGCTAGAAATATGTTGCTCGAATGAGATCGCAATTTAATGCTGCTCCTAGTTGCCCTCAAATGTTGGTTCTATTATTGTGTCCATGGTTTAAGGCCATGAATTACTTAGTTTGTGAAACGAAGCTTCCTTGTCAGCTAGTGGTAGGAATTATATAAATGCATGGTGCTTATTGTGTCATTCTTGCACGAAAAAAAAAAATCACGAGATGAAATGTTTGCTCAAATGTCAGGTGTCAGCTGGGAGTAAAGTTAAAATATTATCGCATACTATAAAATTATTCAATAATGATGAATTCCATATTTATAAACAATATAGATATATGTCAGTGGCTGCAACTTGGCATGCCACCAAAATAAATAAATTGTACGAATTAAATTTATCACCGAATAGTTTTTAGTTCAATTCACATTACTGAACCTACTCCAACTTTTGATTTCGACTGACCGGATCGAGAATAATGTTCAATATATTCCTATTTTCCTGTCAACAAGCGTTTCCATGAGGGAATGAGGTTCAATTTTAGGTTAATATCGTTATAAATCAAGTCCCTTTTTTGCATTACAATGACGAAATACCAGCGATGAGGTTACCCGCACTATATGGGACTCCCTATTCACGCCTAATTCATACAAGGCACACTAGAGTCACAGCATTTGTAGCAGAGAACAATACATTCGTTATCGGCCTTGTTATGAATCACGACCCATACCCCGAGTCTGGGCTCTCATACCCACGCCTACCGGAATTGAAAGGGTATTACCTAATAATTCTTTAAATTACTTCACGAATCTTCAAAGTTCAGAAATGAACTTGTTTGAAACTTGAGTTTTTTTAAAGCAAGTTTGTTTGAAGTGAGTTACGCAATGTTGGCTAGGTGATCCAGTCGTTATGTGTGTGTTACAGATCGTATCGTGTTGATCACCAATGAGAGAACATAGAAAAGAAAGGTACAAACTGAGCGCCAACTTGATACATTTCTTAGTCGACAAAATTCGTTTTATCTGTCTGGCTTACCCGGAACACTCACATGAAAATATGGCTAAAAATTCTTACAATTTCAAATCAACCAGCATTAGGTGTAGGCGCATAGTAGGAACGCCAAACTAATATTTCAAAGTATGATGGAATCAGCCATCATACAGAGCAATCCGTATTAGCCAACGTAGCAAAAATGTAGTCAAGTCCTCAAGATGACGAACGACTGATGAATCAAGCCAGTTCAAAACTCCTTCAGCTAACCTTATTCAGGAGCAAGGGCAGCGCGTGTATCATTTTGCTTTCACCGACTTCCATCAAAATTCATCATGACCCGTAGTCGATATTTCGTCAATAAGGAGCGAAGATAGAATGTATATGTATATACATGTCAGTTGGGTATTTAAGTGGCTTAAATAGTATTTAACCAGGAATCGGAAATCCCGTAGATCAAATACTCTCAATAATTCACTGGATCTAAACGCCATGCCTAGGAAAATCACGATATGCACAAGACATCATCGAAGTGGTTTAGTTCAAGATATGAAAGTCTGACGCGTCCTGCGACTCCTGCCTGTCCCGAAATCCATGAATTTCTTTTTCAACGATGCTCCAACTACGAATTCCTCTTCATTCTTGTTTATTTTCATTCCAGTCCTGCGTGCTTGATTATCCATTTCCCCAATGTAGTCTATCTATGGCACCAGTATCAGTAGTACACGCACTTTTCTAAAAATAATTGTACGCAGTCGTTTTCGGTAATCCTTATATGCTATTGCTAGCCCCGTTTCTTCTCCATTAAATATACATACCAGCTTTTGTTCAGTGGAATATGAATCGTTTGCCATGAAAGGCTTGTTCTTCTCTTATATCAATTTTTCGAAATGCTTTTCATGGTTCTAACCAAGCAAGTATTACTCCATGCGAGAACCTCCACATTTTAGCTGAAGGCCTTCAATACGATCAACAATCGAGGGGAAATGACGATCAACACGGTTATAAATTTCATTTAAATTCATGTTCATAATATAAAATTAAGCCGCAGTTATTAAAATACATGTTAAAAATCTTTGTACGAAACAAATATATCTCGCAAGTACGTCTCAACCAACTTATCCTTGACCTCAAACCTAATTGGTTTCACCCGATGGCCCTCCAAGCAGTTCATCGCCGAAATCTTCATGAAGCTCGCCGCGTCCTCCGTCGGAGGCTGATGGCAGAGTCGCTGGATGACCGTGCGATGTTGTGTCGAGTTGAATATACAGGAAAATTTTTCTGACGAGAATAACTTCAATAAATTCTTAGCACGTTTCTGTAGTATCATTGCGAGGAACTCCAATTCAATGGAGTTACCGAATGATGGTTTTAGTGGATGAATTATTAAATCTTCCAATACGTATATCATGCATTTGTTCCACTTGAAAGGGGCTTTTCGGAGGATTGAAGTCACAGTTGAATACATGACAAGCTTCTGCAGCTCTGAAAATATTTTTGGAAAACCCGATTGAATGGCTGACACTATCTTCACAATATCTTGTGAAAATTCCAAAGGTACTGAAGCGCCTTTGTACATCACGTGTGCTACTGCATTCGCAGCAAGAATCGTGTCTACTAGCAAGATGAAGAGACCAAGAACGTCTAAAGTGTATCTGTTGGATTCTAATTTAACGTTCCTCACTGGCCTATTGAGGGTGTATGGACCGGGAAGATTCAAGGTGCAGGTTTCTAGTATCGTTGCCCCCAACATCAAAGCAGGGTTTTTGATTATGGCGTCCATTTCCCTCACTTTATTGTCTATCGTACGAAAAATTGATACTTTAGGCCCAGAACATAGTTGCACCAGCCCGCTGCGACAGGAATGTTCGTGCTCATGATACTCAGCATAGCTAAACTCTTGCTCTACCAAATTATGAGCAAGAGGCATTTGCTCTTCCAATTTAGAAGAGTGCAGAGAATCTGGAGGAACAACGGAAACTTCCATTTCTTGACATTTTTCTGTGGAGACGAATTTATCTTCGGGTTTATAACGCGGTACCGTGATGCCTACTTCTGGAAAAGTTTGTATCCTTCTCTCCGTCACATTTTCTTTGCCGAACAGATCCTTCAATGCGTTCGCGGCGTTGTTCGAACCGTTCAATCCTGCCGATGGCTCAGAATCTTCCGTTATTTGGTCAAGCAAGTTGCATAGAACAGGAAAACTTGAACTAAGCCACAAGTCCAAATAACCTTCCGGGTCAGTTTTGTCATTCATGCAAGTTCTTGTCTGCATCTCATGACAAGATTCCGAAGCCTGGATGGACGAAGGCATCTTTCAATCACGTCAGCCAATTCTCCGTACGAAGCCAGCAAACCTGTTTGAAGGGAAAAGAGTTTTTTATTTCACGTCCAATAAAACATTCATACAATATTTTCAATTCTGTAGTTTTGACAAGTCAAGGTTAATACTGCATTTTCGGCGATGATCTACCGACGCTTTAGCCTAAAATATTGCCAAAATTAGTAAATTCAGACTCGTTGCGTCAAGGCAATTTTGACTTTAAGGAGCTGGTCGTTATTTCTGAGCCACCTATTGCACACGGTGCTGACGTCTTGTCAACGGATAGGAACACCCGGAAAACTTCATGGCAGACTCAAGGATGCTAATGGCCTTCGTTTACCATAGACTTCATTGCATTCCTCATCAAGGTAAATTGAGTAAAATTAACACGTTCATGGGCATAGCGAACAGTGCGCTGAAACTGAAGAAGTGCAGAAGCATTCAACACCTAATTATTTAAGAGCCCATGCTTATCAATATTGCACGTCTGACAGATGAGAGTTCCTCTTCATATAACTAGGAAATTTCACCATATATAAAGTCTGGCAGAATGTAAGCAATCATAATTCTATTAAATAACCAGTTTCCCAGGAGCCAGAAGATATCCCGCTAAATCGAAGGAATACAGTTAATTCTTGCCCACTTTGCGTTTCAGCTGAATGCGTTTCTCTAAGTTCTGGTCGAAAGCGCTCGAGGACCCAAGCTAAATCGAATTACACGAGCATGTAAGCACAGCCACGGACAGCCAGCAAGTCTTACGTGCATTTTCTAGAACCTTCACGCTGAATAATTACGCTGAATTTCCAAGTATTAATTTTCTTGCAAAGCAGAGAGTAAAGATTTAACCCACAGATTACCTTTCGCCTCGGCTCCTTGCGGTAATTATTGCTCATGAATGGATAACATTGTTCATCATATAGAACCCCACCGCTTTTCAGATCTGCCTCAATTCAATATTTTCATTCCTATAGACCTGCCAACAGTGCAATTCATTTCTTCTGGCAATGAGGCTTTAAGTTAATTTAACGATAAGTAAAACTAAAAATAGATCCCTTCTCAAAGGATAACTTCTGACACGCAAGCCATTTCAATCCTTACGTTCAAATGATATGAAGGTAGTAAGGTTACAAAGGCGCATTTAGCAAGAAAACAATTACAGGAGTACGCTCAACAGTCAGTAGACTCATTTACTTAGCTTATAGTTTACTTACGCCACTTGAGAACAGCTGGAAGAAGACGCATACAAGACCTACGATAGATACTACTTAAATATCGACCACTTTAGTATAGGTCTTTAGCTTTAAGTATTCACTTAGTTATTAATTACAACTAGCTACTTAAATAAATGTGCACGCGCGTGCACCTTATCGTTAGGTTAAATAAACGGCTATTGCCGCAGAGCAGATTTTGATCAAACTCTTCGACTCCCTCAGAGCTCAGAATGGAATCGGATGTGGTCACGTCTGTGCGGTCGTGTTCCTCCTCCAACCCAGCTGATTTATATTAGATTTCACTTTTGATGGCGCGTGAAACTAACGCTCTTTCAAAACTTACTCTACTTTATTCTGTTAAACAATACACCCTATATTTATTTTAGCACACACGAACATAAGGCGCTTGTGTAAATGAGTATTGGCCATATGAATATTAGGAAGACCGGCCGCGAGTCCGGCCGTAAATTTGTCCGAGAACTAGAACTAGAGTGAGATATAACAATTCAACTCACCATCACGCATGCAGAATTCCACAAAACTTTAATTTAAATGCTGTTAAGTCACTTTGTATAATTACTCATGTCGAGATGATTCATTTGAGACCTGCCGTGTGTAATTAATTGTGTTGTTAATGGAAATTTCATAACATCGATATTACAAATTTTAATGCAGTTTGATGCTTAGCATAACTATAAATATTGGATTAAATAAGCATTAGCACTTCATTCTTCTAGTAAATCTGTGTCCTGAAAATGTTCCAAATTTAAAATAGTAAAGACCGAATAAAAAATATTATCGGTGCAGTTTCTGTTCACGCATTGGATGCACTGCATCTTGGGGGACACTCATTCATTATGTATTATCGGTGAAGTAGCTTCACCGCCAAAAATTGAATATGAATGTAAAATCATCCATTGTTATCTCTATCCACATCGTATGCTTATGCTCAAAATTATACTAGTTTAGTTCGTGATCCGCAATAAACATTTTTTAACGCAATAAAATGTACAAATCCTGAAAGAATCTCCTTCTAAAAAAGAAAAAAATCATTCGAGTATGGTTTGATATTCGAATTCTGCTACCTGAGAAGAGAATTACCGGCATCTTCAACAATCCAGTTTCCTTCTAATATGACTGGAACCCCGTTTTAATTTACATAAAATTTGAAATTCCAAGTGCGCCAATCGAGTCTAAGTTATGGAGATGCTGAGTTACTTTCTTGCTCGTAACTGCCGAGAATAAAGGACGAGGGTCGCGGAATTTCTTTCGCTCCTTTGGCGGCAGGAAGGAACTCGATATCCTCTCAACCTCCGAACCCAAATTTAAAGGCAAAAAACAGGCGTTTTTCGCTGCTTCCTAAGGAGAATTTTTATCAGTGGGACTTTGTCATCGAAGGCGAGGCTTCGCGTGAGAAATGGTCAATAATATATTTTTTAGTTCATGTTTAGGGCATCGAAATTATATTCGTTACTTTAACAATTTTCCTAATTTGTTTTACACATTTCTCGCTAACTATGCATGGCTAATTAAAAACCGCATGATTTTGTGAATGATTATCTTCCGAGAATGCATAAAAAAAATGTCAGAGAAAATCGAAATTATGATACAACAAAAGGGAAAATGAGTATTCCTTAGGACTTGCAGCTGAAATAGCGTCGATTTATCTCCTGGTATGATAGAAGAGATGTTTTTCCCAGAGAAGTAATACTGATTATATCTTATTCATTCAAAATCTGAGGATGTGTATCATTGCTTCTATATTGGGAATTAAGAAGTTGAGACTGAATATTTTCATCGTGCGATCAGAACCGAATAAATAACGAATTAAATTAAAGACACGCTTAAAATATTATATTAAAATAACATGATTATATTTGGGAGCTAGTTGTATCAATGTACCATCAATATTCGAAAGAGGAAAAGTTTCATAAGCAATAAATAATATATAGTTAAACTGCGAAATAGCTGCATCGAAGCCTAGAAAAGAATTTGAAAATAACCGGTGAATCATTTATGGCTTGCTGCTCATTTACCCGGAAGAGAAATAATGTCTTTATGTCGAAGGATTTTTGTGCGTGGGAATCCTTCATTGGCGCAGGCGAAGCAGAATTTGCCAAAGGATCTATAGGCTCAGTAGCATTTCTCGAGGAGACAATGGCATGTGCCGTGACTCCGTTGATTACAAGCTGGCATTCTCTCTCATTTGGCCTCATCCGAGCGTGCGTTCAAAGACACACAAAGCCGCTTCTCGGCAGCCTCTATGAGAGCCGCCATTACGAAGAATTAACGAGAACGGGGATACACTCGAGTAAATTCTCCTTAATTAGAACAAACATGTACGCCAGACTTGGACCCTTTGTGTTGCAAGCATCGCCTTGCCGTGTGTACTCAGCGGTGCTACGCGCTCGTGCATTGAGCCTAAGCGTATGTTGCGCTTCCAGCGTGCATCGCCATATACGGCCATAAATGCTGCATTCTTCGTCATCACGGAAATTCTATAGTCAGAACTCTGCTGTATCAGCTCCAGGACTGAAATACATTGCACAATAACTGAGATCAGTGTAGTTCTTGACAAATAATTGCTCTCAATCGATTTCATATAACGCCTGCACAAACCTGGGTTAAAATTGCAATGTCCTGAAGTGAAATTTTTTTCTTCTTACAGTCTTCATTGAATTTAGTGAGACTATACACGTCATTTGCAATTTTCAGGCGCTCTGGTCGTGAGAGATTGTCTCCATCATAAGTTCCGTTGAAATTAAATCGCGGTGTGGGATCTTTATCTAATCTATTTATCATGTGGCTTTCGATGGCACCGACGTTGAAAAATGCACTCAACGAAAAATAATATTTGAAAAAAAGGGTTCTAAATCTTCTGCATAGCATTAGCATCCATGCATAGACTGTGCAACGATTGAGTGTCTAAAAAACCTGAAATACCGGTTTCAATAGATTTAAATATATGCGTTTTATATTTTTATTCATCACATCACTTCCGTTCCCTCGTACCACACATACTGTACTATGAATATTTTCTCCCTTACTTCTCTTAAATATTTTTCGATATCATCCTGCCATTGTCTTATTCTGGTCAATTTCCTCCATTGAATATCACCAGCAATTCCAACAGTTTTTAAAAAACTTTATTATTACTAAAAGCTTGATCTCTGAATTAAGTGTAAAAATCTTCGTTTAATTTCTGTGGATACACATTTGTCATAATTTTTTGGTCTCACATACTCAGGGAGCTTCCTTCCTTTGTTATACTGCACGGTAAAAGAAGCCTCGAGGAGCGCAGCGAGACATTGTGTTTCATAGAACTCGTCGAGACACAAGAAGGAATTCTTGTTCTTTCCTGCCGCGGTATGAGAGATCTAGGCTTATTGTATTAGGTCAAGCTTAGTCGAGACCAGAAAGTTAGACGAAAAATTTCTTGAGTTGTGTCTTCAGAACTTCGAGTGGTGTCTTTGAGATGGATCATGTCGCACAAAAGTCAACTTAAACATTTTGTGTGCAGTTTTATTCTTGAGTAATCATAAAAGAGCGATATTACGATGCTGCCGAAAGTATCCCAATATTCGATTAGAGACAGACAATTTTTTCAATTTTTCAGGAAAATGAAATGTGGATCGTGCGATCAGAACAAAAGGAATATAATATAAGTATGCTACGATGACATTTTATTCTTTATTTTTTATTAAAGTCAATATTCTACGTGGCCAGATTAGGGACGAAGTAAAACATCACGATCTAGAACCACAACTAAAAATTAGCCAAACACGATAATAAAATGAAAAACTCATGAACGAATTTGCAATACCAAATTTGCAGCGCTACAAATAGATACAAACCAACTGAAGATCAAATAAATAATTTCTAAACGAAATTTGCATAAAGAATTTTTCCCAAAAAAGATAAAATCTATATATTTTGAAAAAGAATAAATACTCGTCTGGCGCTTGATGACGCAAGGTCCCTGCCAGAGGCAGTGAGGGCCTCGGAGGCGCAGTTAGAACCCTCGCGAGAGGCGCTAGGCGCAAGGAGCTCACAAGCACGAACATCTACCCTCCATCACACCCTATTGTCTACCCTCCATCACACCCCATAGTCTACCCTCCATCACACCCCATAGTCTACCCTCCATAACACCCTATTGTCTACCCTCCATCACACCCCATAGTCTACCCTCCATAACACCCTATTGTCTACCCTCCATCACACCCTATAGTCTACCCTTCATGACACCCACTAGTCTACCCTTTACACCTTACACCTTATAGATAAGTGCAGAAATATACTAGTAATTACTGTTCGGTGCTCATATGACGAATAATCTGGAACTAGGTTGCACATTATCCTTTAAAATCCGGCTGATACGAGTTTCTTTAGGTAATTTTGTTAGACGGAATGAAAAATCTGCGATACATATCTGACAGAAAACATGTAAAAATCGATTGCTTTATTTCCTTTGCTTTCTAAATTTTTTGCAGTATGAATTTCGACTTGGCGCTTACCGACTGACAATTTACGAGGAAATTTTTAAATGTGTATTATATGTTCCAAATTTATATGAATTATACTGAATTGCTTAAAAGACTCTGAATTTATCATATTAAAATTGAGTTTCACTTGTTATAATATTATGATAGAAACGTTGCATGTATTTTTAATGGTAGTAAATTTATTACTCGAGCAAAAATGTTTGTTATTATGATAAAGTAATCCGAAATAAGTTAATTTCTTGTGCGGAAAAAGCCAGTGGTTAGTTTCGTCTCCTTTGAAACCATCGCCAAATTTCCAAGCTCCACAGTTTTAGTTTGCTTGAATTTTAGTTATGTTATCCCACCTTCAGTGCAAATAACTTTCCGAACAAGGGCAATTGGGTGCATTGGTTGTCGGTCGTCATATAGATAGCTTCATATGCCACAGCATACTGCCTAAATTAAATGTTTGGGTGGCTCGTTTCATGGGGTAAAAATAAAAATGTTCAAATTTCAAAATGTTTGGCCTCAGGAAAGTTACTACTCAGTGTAAAAATAAGCCATGTAAAATTTTAGGTCGATATGAAAAGGTTTTGAGGTTGTAACATTAATCTGAATCAACAAATAATGAAATTGTTCAATTGAACATAGAATTTTTCAAATTTGAATCTATAAAACCTAAATTTATTTTCAGACTTGAAATTTTAATACAGTCATAT